CCAACGAAAACTTTTCAAACAGTGTCTTCGCGGAAGAGAAAACGAGTTTCCGTCCTCTTGCTATACCTAATTGAAAAAGTCACCTTTCTTCATTGATATGCAAACCTGAGATAAGGTCTCGAGAAGGAGAATGTGGAATAATTTCTCAAGCAGTTTGACTATTCTTTTTTATCGAACGATGGGAAGGGGGTAAGAATTGCCTTTAGGTATACGCCTTTTAACACGTTGACCGTCACTGTAATTAGAGTCAAGTTCGAGCTAGTATTGATAGGCAAACAACATCGGTAGTTCACGAACCGCTACTTTAAATTGCTGCTTACGATTTCTACGTAAGTTCCAGCGATACCTGACAGAACACGTACTGCGCGCACGGTGCTCATTAGAGAGCTCAAAGGAACGGCCACGAATAGCGGCATGTCAGAACAATTAAACGGTTTTTCTTAAACGAGTGAACCTTTAGAATACTTTTGCTTATTTTGCACGCTTTTTCCTCGAATACCGTTTATCGTACTTCTGGCAAACGATTGGCATTATTCAAGGACTTGAGGTGCAGTCATTAGAACAAATACAATCGGCTTTTAATTGAAGCATTTTTTCTATATTCAAAATAAATATAATAGAGAAATTAATTACGGTACATCTGGTATCAAAAGAATGTATGTATCAATAAGGCAATGGTTAAATTGATGAAGTTTCTAAGTTGAAAAGATCAGCCAGACGAAGAAGGCACTGGATCAAACGAGGTTTCGAGGCGTTTCGATAGCGATATCGCGATATCGCATCGTGCGTTTGCACGGATACGCTCGAAACTGTTCGTACACGTACGCGAGCGTACAGCAACGCGCTTGATATACACCCGCGGAACACAAGAGAGGTGAACGAAATGTGTGTCATACGCTTTGCGGTGTGTGCAGCAGGCTGCGTCTCATTGTCATGCGTCGTGGTGTCGAACAGCAGCTACGTTCGTGCAGTCGTGCGTGCATGCAAGCTCGTAAAATAAACGGAGACGGAGGCAAATTCGCGATAGGCACGATGCCTCGTCGCGACACACGACTTCGAACGTGACCAATCGGTAGCGTCGTCGTTTCGCCGCTTCGTTGCAATACGGACACGACCGATCCCGGCTTTTTGCATTCTCATGAGACGCTCCTGATCGTTCAATTTCAGAGACAATGGCCTAGTTCTCGAAACGCAGCTCACGGTCACCCATCGAAGAAAGTTGACGCGTTTGGCTCGCTTGCAGTCTTTTGCTTATTACTCGTTCGCTTCTGTAAATCATCGGTGAATCGAAGCGCATCCATTTCTAACAAGTTCGAGGATCGAACCTTAGCAAATTATGATTCGCCAACAAATTTATCCATGGTTCAAAAATGGTCGTAACCTCGCAAGCAAGCATATACGCGTTCCTCTGCTCGGTTCATTTTCCCGAAATGATTTCACTTCGATAGAAATTCAATGAACGAAGAGTCGAGAATCATCGAGAAACGTGTCGAGTCATTTGAAACCAGCCAGGATTCCTGGATTTCACTTTTTCGCGAGCTTGCAGACGAGGAACATCATCCTGACGCCTTTATCTTGGCCAGTCTTCCGTACACCGCGATGCAGTTCTTGCTTTCACGCCTGCGATTTGCTGCCATAGTTCTTCCGTTCACGCGCCGGTCCTATTTAGCGCGCGTGATCGGTGCAGCTCGCGCTCGCGCTTCCACAGCTGCTCACATTCGTTTCTATCGATGTTCACTTCTAAAGCGGAAAACAGTGGAAAAAGAACGTTCAGAAAGGCATAGTAGCAACCGTGATGCTTTTTATCCGCTTCTTCAAGCATGGTTCACACGCGAGCAGCTTGTTTCCGACCGTCAATCAACGATCGACTTAATGATCTGGCTTACCGATAGATTTGTACCCCGCTTGCGAATGCATACGGTCGATAATTATCATCAGGTTGGAAAATTAACCGGGATTTTCTATTCCTGGATAACCGATAAGTATTTATAGATCGTTCTGGACTCTCCCGGCTATTTATAAACGGTCGATCGTGTTCTTCTCTTTGGCCATTGGCTCCGGTAGGCGAATAGGAAAGCTGGTATGGACCGCTCCGGAAGCCTTGCACGAGAAAAAGGAAAGGTCTTGCATGAATCGTGCTATCTCCAGCAGCACAACGCTTCTGTAACGAGGAACGCATAAGGAAACTGGAAAATCTTCTTCTGTATCCTTTTCGAACTTTTCATCGCGAACGAGCTTGCAAAGTTAGCAAACGGAACAAAAGGCAATATGGTGTAGCCATGATGATCCGATCATCGATTCGCCTTCAACACGCTCCGCGTGATCTATTGCGAGAATCATGTAGCCGTTTGCTATGTAAATTAGTAGGCGACCACGCTCGGGTGCATCCTCACGCGAATATTTTATAGCGACGACGATGAATGATCATTAAGAAGAAAAGAAGCAAAAAAAAAACTTGCGATGCTACGGTGATTTTAAAGAAATTCTCAAGAAAATGCTTCCACTCGCGACAGTTCGAAAGTTACAATCGTGATATCGTTAGGAATGCGACAAAATCGTTACGATAGTGGTATCGCGAAAGATTTTCTATTTCTGGAGATTCCTCGGGTATTTATAGACAAGTCGAGTGTCCATTAGACCGCGCGCTGTAACGAGCAATAGGAAAGCGAGATCTTACGTGAAAGCCGTTAAGGCCGTTTTCAAGCTGGCGCCCGCAGATCGGAGAGAAAACTAAGTCTTACGACTAGGTTCCACCGACACGACTTGTTAAAGGTCGTGGAAATGTCAACAAACGAGCTTCGGCAAGGACGTCGCCAATTGCGAATTGTGCGCCACGATCCTCGATGATTACGCATTTTCAGGAACAACCGAGCAGCCAGATAGGCCGATGTCTCGATGACGCTATGTCAGACTTTTTATTAATGCCTTCGATTAATGTCAGGTTATTAATATTGTCCGATGACGGGTATACTTCTTTTTTTTCCCTCTGAATTATTCGTATTTGTGGATATGAGTAATTCGAATTTTTCCTCTTATCGAAGAATGAATTTTCCTCGCATGCAAAAATGCTTTTGAACGACACGAACGAACGTGGGTGAGATTCCCAAACGTGGAAAATGGAAATCTGGAGCTATTCTATATTTCTATGTTTTCGAAATGTGTTGTGCTGCTCGAGTGATCGGGAACATCGACGTACCGATACCGTTGAACGGATACTATTTAATCAAGTGATTCTGACCGTGTTCTGCCACGTTCTCGGAACTTCAACCTGCTCCGATCTTTAGACTCGCTAGGTTGGCAAACTCGTACTTAACTGTACAGATGATCCGTGCCTCGTCATCGAAGATTTACATAACAATCATTGTATAACGTTCGGTTTAACGCGTGCTCTACGCGGGCATTGATGTCACCCCGTTTCAGAGGAAAGTTGTGTAATAAATTCATGGTTTTTCCGTACGGGAAATCTGTTTGTTTACGATGAATACATCAAATTTCATACGTCCAAATAATAACGGGAAAACGAGAACTTTGTTTAAATTATTCAAAAAAAAATATGGTCTTCCCCTTGTTCATGGTTTGTGGTTATTATGCAGGTAATGTTAGATCTTGGTTTTTCTTGCACTTATTTTAATCTTATGCGATCGATATCATGTAAGATGTTTATAAAAAAAAAGAAAATTAACCGCTTAGTTTTATCTCAATTATACTGGATAAACAAGGTCGGAGGATCTTATTATTATTTCAAAGAGTACTGTTTCGTTTCGACATAAACGACAACTGGAACGAAAATCTCGTGGCGGTCGAGGACAGAACAGCATGGCGATGTTCCACGTAACGTACTTGTCGTTACGGCTAAAATCAATGTATCGACGACCTTATTTCCTTAAAACGTACAGGCAAGCGTTGACCGAGCACCATTTCTGTGCTAGCGGGTTTTACGTGCTCCGCTACTGTGATTCATATAACCGTACGCACAAAGGAGAACAGAATCAGGACAATTTCTGTTTTTTGTCCTAATCGTGATCTAACGTATCACTGGTACAAAGATTACACAGGGTGCATTTGCATACTGTGCAAAAGAATTAAGCTGAAAATTTAGAATATCACAATTTGTCATATTAATTTCAGCTCAATTGTGTTCGAAGAATTATCTTATTTCCGCTGGTATCATTTCTTCTACTTGGCGTGCTCCAGAAAAGAAAGAACGATACCTTATCGGTTCACCTTTAGTTCTCTCACGTGCATTCGCAGAATCCTTGCCCAAGGACTTGCGGCCTTCTCCTCCTTCTATGCTGGGCTCTAAATCGAGAACACGGCACATCGAGTCGAAAGTTGAACGTTGCACAACGATCCACCGGTCGCAATATCGCAATATCTTCGTCTTACACGGCACGCCGACTATGTAAACTGTCTAGAAGCGTGCTCCAATATCTCAAAACGCTGAACTCGCTCGTACGCGTGTCGAAAGTCTATACTTTTCTTCTTTTTTTTTTTCCTTTTCTCCGTTCGACCATACTTTGACGTGATTCTCCTCGAAATCGTAAACACGAATATTGTATGTTTCGCAAACGAATGATACACGAATGGAAGTCGAATTTTGACCAGCGACTAATCAAGAATACCTGTCTCTCCAACGAGCGTAGAATTAATTCAGCAGCAAGGAAAGTGAGAGCACCTCCTTTCCGATCTTTCGCGCATGGAGAACGCTTCGTATGTTCCCTACCGTTTCGAGCGACGAGACGATAATGTCGTGACAAAGAATGGCGATCCGATGAAGGGACAAAGTGCAGATAGCACGAGCAGTGGTGTTTTAACGAGCGAGTTAATGTGAAGAGAGTAGAAAGAAAATCGCTAAAGACAGCGCCCGTTGTAGTTGTTGCTAAGGCCACATAACGCGAGCACTGAGATCGGTTTCGAGCTGTCGCTAATGTCACGAGACGTCAATCACCGATCGAACGAATGGTTGGAATGATAGAGAAATAAATGTATCATGAACTCACTTGATCAGGATCCTCCAGAAGCAGCCGAAGCTGGAGCCGTTTGGCACTTCACTCGCGTACGATATAGTCATTTCCTACTTAACCATGCATACGTTGTCTCAATGAAAATATTGTCTTGTTTCACGATTAGAATTAATCTTGTCACTTACTTATTCTCGGTTTCTTTAATTTTTCTTCGATTGTACGTGTTGGATAAGTGAGGACACTCGCGCACACGCGGCTCACTGGCCACCGATCTTTAATTTCTCTACTTCTTTCTCGATCGTTGATGATCGAGTCTCGATTACCGGCCACTATCAGATGGTCCGCGTTCGATTTACAGTCAGGAAGATCTCTTTCACGATTAGGCGGAACCAGCTGACCGGACGGACCGACTGTCTGCTAACTGAGCTCCACTGACAGACGACAGGGCTAACAGAGAACGGGGCCCGGCTGCCCCCTCTACCTGAGCTCCAGTGCCGTTCTCACCTGTACGATAACCCTGTTCTCTTTTACCTCTTCCTTACGTTCTCTGTACACCAGCTAACAGAAGCTGTTTTACAGATACTCCCCCTTCCGTTTGCTCGATCGCTCTTTCGATCGAAGGCGTTCAGTTTGCTCAATACTCTCATCGATGGTATTAGAAGATTTAGTGTTTGCTATCGCAACGTATGTTTAATTTTAGATATGGATGACCATTGTCATCTTATAGTTATCTCAAAATGAAAGATGGGCAAGGTTTATGTGTTTAACTAGATTGATCCTGTTTCTACCGATCAAGGATTAATTTGCTAGGTGCGCTAATTGTTCGTCGAGAGGTGTTTCCGTTTGCTAATTACGGTTCTCAAAGACACATCGATACCCCACATCAGTCCATTTCGAATGACAGAATTTACATTCATCGACGAAAAGATTCGCGCGCGTTACGACACGATCCACAAAGAATTCTTGAAAAATCAATGACACGCCTCGCCTTTCAAATGGATCTGCTTTCGAACCAAGTAAAAGGAGAGCGTTTCTGGCATAGTGTTTGCGTCTTCGCTCAATATCAACACTATCGGTACTTGTTAAACTACGCTCTTAAACTACCTGTTCCAATCTTTTTAATCACTCTTAGACACTGAGCTGTGGCCACCGATCTCTGCTGCTTTTATAGCGATCTTACCATCAAACTTTTCTATGACTATGAAATATTTATGAGGCTAAGGTGAAGATTTTATAACTGTACGTTTGATTTCCGAGAAGAGGACATCTCCGGAGGGCCATTCTCGGAAACAGTGTTGTTCTTACGGCACTGTGGCTGTTCGAATGCCGTAACAATCGCGGCTATCACCTTACCTGAACATTTGAACGCGACACCTCGTGGTGCATTCCTACACTCTTCATTCACCTTGCGGTGGCCTAGCCTGCGGCGAAAATACGACCTTCTAGTACCATCCACCGGTCACCCAGCGCCTTTTTTTCCAAATACATTATAATTTGAGCGAATAGTGTTCTTGAGTACCGTCCTAAGTACGAAAACCACAGGGAAACACCAATTGAACCATTCGAACTTTCTACCAATGCCTGTGATTGGTCATTCCATTATGGTGTCCTCCTATTTCGACCAATCAAATTCATCGTTGAAGGGTGCATTGCGCGGAGTATGGTGGAGTGCAACAGTCGAAGCTTCGAAGCTTCGTCCATTTGGCACGTGTCTGCAACAGGTAATTTCCCTTTAGATTTTTATATAGGGAGGTTGTAAGTTAATAATTAGGAAGGACAATCATATCTTAAGGATTCTAAAGTTAAGTAATTGAATAAGTATATAATTAAGTTTAAACACTGTAGTGTTTAATTAGGAAATTTTAGATTTAAGCGAATTTTTGTTGTTATACGAGCGCTCGTATTCTTAGTATTTAGGTGTAAGACAAATATGCAATTGCATACTACTAATTACAGATCTGTAATCAAAATGAAAAAATTGTAAGACAGAATTAAGAAAAAAAATATAAGTAGGCAAGTAGTAAATAAAGATAATGCTCCTTTTGTTGTTCGTTTGCACAACAATCGAAACGTTTTGCAAATGTGCATCAAGAGGAGGATGTTATTGAATAAAAATAAAAATTTGCATAAATGGAGGGTGAATGGGATGAGGTAGGGCGGGTCTCCACCCGCAGCAACCTCCTCGTGGTGAGACCTGGTCTATCGTTATTATTTGATGACTAATTAATAACTGTATCATTATTTCTATGGCACATTTATTAATTATGCAGCAAATAATACGAGTGAATTGGCTGCGAAAATGCGAGCGTCGAAAACTTTACCGACAGTCCCTAGAGAAATCCCTAGACGCGAGTTTTCAAATTACGTCCTCATTTCTAAACAGAATGTAAAAAAATTTGAGGGACGTGTCCAGAAGGCCCTAAAGAATGGCGCTCTGGTCCTTATATTATCCAAATCGTCAAAAACTTATAAAATATTGAAATTGCTGTCTGTCAACGGTCAAGAAAATGACGGATCGGACTCACCTGCATTGATTTATTCGTAATATAAACATTTCTGTGAATCGTATGTCCAAATAGGGACCAGACTGATATTCTTTGGGTCGGATAGAATAAAACGAGTACCCAAGGGATGATGTACAAGTCTCCAGATAGAAGTAATTTGAAAACTACCATTTCGTTGATTGTTCACTCGCGAAAGACGTCAACAAGGTAAAACAGACCAGAAATTTAGTTTCTCGTTCATTCTGTAGGGTGCAGTTCGTTCGTTTGATTAATAAACAATTGTAAAATTAAAAATAATAATTAAATAATTTTTAATAGAATAATTAAACAAAATTTTGCAATATACTCACGCGGAAATGTAAAGAAATAAACAATTTAAATAGATATAACAATAATTTGATTAATAAACAATTGTAAAATATAAAATAATAATTAAACAAATATTAACAAATATCAGATAGAAATAATTAAATCTGCGGAACCGGTGAAGCGGAACGTCACGATTGATTGCGCGCGCCGCGCGTCGGTACATGCGCGACCCGTACAGAGGTCAAATCTAATCAGTCTTATCGCGACCGCCAAAGGATACGGATGGATCTGTCAAACATATACCGGTACGGGTTGATACCATGGATATTCGTGCATGGATTTATCAGTGTATTACCACAAGTGTTACTGTGTTTGCCTATAGTGTTTCCTATAGTGTTTCCCATGTGTTTTGGAATATTTATACGGATATATTAGTTCGTTTTATGGTGTGGAACCCCATGTACCTGCATGTGCTTTATTGTGTTTTATGGTGTGGTACCCCATGTACCTGCATGTGCTTTATTGTGTTTTATGGTGTGGTTCCCTATGTGCTTTGGCATATTTTTACGGATTTATTAGTGGGTTTTATGGAGTGGTACCCTATGTGTTTTGGCATATTTATACGGATTCATTAGTGGGTTTTATGGAGTAGTACCCTATGTGTGTTGGCACATTTATACGGATTTATTAGTGGGTTTTATGGAGTAGTACCCTATGTGTTTTAGTATATTTATACGAATTTATTAGTAGGCTTTATGGAATGGTACCCTATGTGTTTTGCTACAATTTTGCAAATATTTTATGGTGTTCTATGGTTTTGATCTTCATGTGTTTTGGGATGTATTTATTTGCATGTGTTTTACCGTATTTTATGATGTAATTATTCCTATATAGTTTTGCATGCATATTTTTAAATTATAGTATGTATTAGCATATTAACTACAACAAATTGAGAGAAAACATATATCATTCAAGAATCGTGATTTTTATGCTTCCAGATGAGTGCTTTGGCCAGTGGGGGTACCGTTTCTTTGACGAGCCAACAGTCGAGCTATGAATCAATCTAAGATGCGTGGCGAGTGCAGTGGTGCAAGTCAACGATCGGTGAGTCGCATGCTTTAAAGTTCCTCCGGTTCCCATCATGTCGTAGGACGAATGGTCCGTAGCGACACGGGAATTGGTTGTAATTTTTATTTTTTGAGCGAGCATAGTGACCCACGAATATCACTGTATTATTTTATACAATGATAATCGTGCAAATTGCTTTTTTGTGTATTTTATGCCTTAGCTTAGGATAGGGTTTTCTTGTACATATTTACATATATAGATTTCGAGTTTAAAAATGTAGAGAAGTCGGATGACCCTCCGACTTCACAATACACTTTCTTTTTTATATGTACAAGAATTTATTTCGCGATGAGCGGATTTCAATGTCAAAGTAATAAGCATGATTACTATTAATTACTATAACTACTTACTTTGATAACGAAATCGCTCTTGAAATTGAAACGTTTTTCCAATTTTACTCGTGAAATTGGCATCAGTTTAGTATATGGGCTGGCACCTAGGGGGGTTGGTATTTGCTCTTCAAGCATTGTATAAAGTTCCCCTTTCGTACTTGAAATTCATTCTGTCACGTTCACAGTTCTCGACCATAAACACTCATCATTCGCACTTCAGCCTCACGAACTCTATGTCATAATCATTTATCCACCCGCATACCCTTGTGTAGTGAAATATTACCCCGTTAGGATTTTCAAGTTATAGTAGTGTTGCGAAAAATTTTCAACGCGAGAATAAATATTACCCCGTTAGAATTTTCATGATTAAGTAGTGTTGCGAAAAATTTTAAACGAGAGAGTAAATATTACTCCGTTAGAATTTTCAAGTTTAAGTAGTGTTGCGAAAAATTTTCAACGCGAGGGTAAATATTACCCTGTTAGAATTTTCAAGTTTAAGTAGTGTTGCGAAAAATTTCCGGCGCGAGAGTAAATATGACTACACACTGACTAGTACTCGGTGGGAATCCTTTTGGTTTTTATTTGATAAAATTAGTTACAAGGATTCCGCGGCATAAGACCGTGAACACCACCTCATGGGAGATAAAACCATGCATTACTAGGCCTTTGCAGGCGCAGCTTTGGAATACGGAACATATGAAAATATGTTACCATATTCTAAACTGTAGTCCTTTTGTCTATACTATGGGCGTCCGTCAATCTGACACCGTTGGATGCAACGTGTTGGACGGGCGGGTAGCGCTCTTAGCGAAGGGGTGCATCCTGTCCTGGCGTTACGACGTCCAGGCGGGGTGGGTGGTATGTAGCGTCGGGCGCAAGTCCAGGGGGCCTAAGAACCTCCGTTGCCAACTGATATTAGCAGTGCACCATGTTTTATGTCATAGTTGCTCAATTTTGCTTTTCTGTATTTGTTCTTCAAGCTTTATATTTGCAAAGTCGAGTCACTTTTATTAAAAATAAAACCCCCTGGGGGGGCCAGCCCATATCCTAATTCGGAGCCGTGAAATTTCGCCGATATTCTTACTTTTAATAAAGTGAGAATATCATCTTTAGTTTTTGCTAATCATACGTTTTAGCTTAGGCATTTCAGCACACATGAAGAAAACTGGTAGGTGAAAATACCTTTGGCCTTGTTCATTTTTATGCCCAAAGCTCATTCGTGTACTTAGATGTACTCGCGTGGGTGGAGGGCGGTGGACAAGGTTTAGTTTTAAGTGTAATACATTTTGGCGACTGACAAAAGTAGTGAACCAATAGTGAACCACGATAGAAGTTCCACATGTGTGTGTGTGATTAGGATGTGGGATTTTTATCGTTTGTTAACAATCTTAACTTACTATAACATTACAAAATACTTATCAAGAATAAATTGAAAAATTTTTACATTAGATAATTCAATAGAATACGAAAATGAAATGTATTACTTTAGCATAATGTTCACTATTATTTGTCAGTCGATTTCAGCAAAAAGGTATGATTTTATTAGAGTGTGAAAGTTGAATTGAACTCGGGTGTCGGAGGCGTCCCGGGACGTTCTCCCTAGGTGTAGGCATTTTTGCACCCGGGTGGTTGTATGAGAACCGTGGAGTGAATTTTTGTGAGAATGATTTTTGCCCTTTTTTAAATATAGCGATAGGCAGGCAGGTAGTTTACTTCTGGTGTGATTGAGTTTAGTTTATAAGTAGGCAGGGCCAGAGCAAGCTTTCATGTTTCTCTTCGTATTCTCCTCTAATACGTGAGAAGCTTGTATCTGGGGTTGGGAAACCAAAAATCAAGAGAAAAGATGAAAATGCAATTTAATTAATTTATCAATTAATTAATTTAGCATTCTCTCTTGATTTTTTCAAGGCCAAGCCTTATTAGTTTGTAAGTCGTAGTCGTGGTACTAGACCCGATTACAAAAATGAAGTATTAAAGTGAAAGTGCAGTGAAGTGAAGTGAAATTAAAAAGTGTTTTGTGCTTGGACATTTGCAAAAATTGTGCAGGTATGCGAGTAGCGATTCAAGGAATCGTTGCTCGTTTACGTGTTACATTTTTACAAATGTCTGAGCAAACGTAAAATTTTCGCGAGTGATTTTTGTGAGGCTATTGCCGAAGAAAGAAGAGGCTATATGCTGAAGAGCCCCGGCAAAATTTGCCCAGAAGAGGGGAACTACTAATGGCTCTCCATCTTCGGATGGACAGTCATTCTGTCACTATGCTCGCTAATTTGTTTTTTCATTTTTTGTGTTTTTCCTTGAACGGTATGAATAATACCGTCCAGGACGTATTGAACTCAACATTTTACGAGTTCAATACCCAGCTCGTTGAATGGTCAACTCGCGATTTTATTTCCTCTATTTCTTTTTCGTTTATTGCTTTATTGAAATAAATTATTCTTTTCTTATTGATTTGCACATCAATTATATTTCATGTTCTTATTTTAATTATGTTCTATTTATTTAAAACATAATTACCATTATAATCTTAGAGTATATTTTCTGTTGTCGGCATTTTTCATTTCAATTGTAATCGAAATTATGATGTTAATTATATTTTCTATTTCAGCATTTTATTGTTGAATTGTTATTTTGTTAATTGTTACAGAAATTGTGATGTTAATTATATTTTCTATTTCAGCATTTTATTGTTGAATTGTTATTTTGTTAATTGTTACAGAAATTGTGATGTTAATTATATTTTCTATTTCAGCATTTTATTGTTGAATTGTTATTTTGTTAATTGTTACAGAAATTGTGATGTTAATTATATTTTCTATTTCAGCATTTTATTGTTGAATTGTTATTTTCTCAATTGTTTCTGATATTAGGATGTTAATTCTATTTTCTATTTCAAGATTGTATTTTTTAAATTTTTATTTTATGTTGTCTGTTTTGAATGGTTTCACGTTATTGTATATCTAATCCTAATAATTATGTTTTCCGTTACAGCATTTTATTATTAAATTATTATTATTTTCTCAATTGTTTCTGATATTAGGATGTTAATTTTATTTTCTATTTCAAGATTGTATTGCTTAAATTTTTATTTTATGTTGTCTGTTTTGAATGGTTTCACGTTCTTATGATTTTAGGGTGGGTTACTAACGTAGCCACCTCCACGTGGTGTGACCTGGTAATTGATATCGTTTCCTAAAGATAACTTTTAGAAAGCGATATCAAGCTAAGAGCTACGATAAAAAGATTTATATATTTTTTAATTGGGAAACAATAGTTTAAATTCAGAAAAGTATTTTTGGAATTGCAATATTACCATATAGAACGTATAACTATTGTAATTTTATAGTTCCTGAAAAAGGAACTTGTATAATTTTTGACTAATTACAAATGACTAATTACCTCCTTCTTTTCGAAGTCGGTTAAAAATAAAATAAAAAGAAAATCACAAAATATGGAATTTAGAAAGAACGAAGTTGTTTGATACGCAATGGTAGAAAGAAATCAACCATAGCGAAGATATTTCAAGCAGAGACGTTGTACATTGGAAAGGCCATGACTTTATCCATGACTTTATCCATGACTCTGGTCAGACGCCAGATCTCGCTCTTGTCCACAGAACACATGATTTTTGCTTTTCATTTGATCAAATATTTTTCTTATAACAATTTTCGAGAGGAATTCATTATTGAATGAAAGTAAAAATTTGCATAAATGGAGGGTGGATGGGATGCGGTAGGGCGGGTCTCCAATCCACAGCAAGCTTATCGTGGTGAGAACTGGGCAATTGTTATTATTTGATGACTAATTAATAACTGTATCATTATTTCTATGCTACATTTATTAATTATACAGTAAATAATACGAGCGAATTGGCTGCGAAATTTATGCTTTTTTTTCTATTTAATCTCTGTTATATATTGTTCAGGAACTATGTCTTTCAGATTCTGAAGTGTATCACATAGCAACTACAATTTTACGGAACGAAAATTAATAATAATGAATGCATAGTCAGTATTGTTTAATTATGTACTTATACATATAGCTATCGTAGCATACACGTGTCATTTATACCGCAGTTCACCAGAGTCCATAATTGCGATGCGCAGGTTGGAAGATGGTGGGGGAACGCAGCGAGCTCTCTGCTAATCGCTTTCCACTTCGTTTGGGAGTATCGCCAATCAGGGCGAAGATGCGCACTGGAGAAGCGCGAAGAACGAAAACTGGTCTTTTCGCAGTTAAGTATGGACTCTGGTGAACTGCGGTATAGGTGCATGCGAAAGGTGACGTAGTATAGCATGCCGTTGGTTGATAGGGTTGATAGCATGCGATAATTGAGGTGGCGCTTAAATCAGTTTCTGTTCGGCCTAATTTTCGATGAAGCGTTGACTGTTTTACCGACGCGAAGGAATTCGATGTTCTGCTTCCATGCTAGCATCGGCTTAAACTATGTTGGTATTTCAAAACGTGCGACACGAAGTCTCATATGATGATAAATCTGTTCACAGTTTGGAATTTGAAAATGCTCCTTTCTTCTTACAGAGACCTCTGTAGGAAAAGTATTGTATCAGAGGTTGTAAACGATGAGGATCATCCGGTACTTTGCTTATCCATGTGGCGTGTAGTTCCAGTGTTTATTGTTTATAAATACTTATAAACTTTCCAAATGATATCAATTATTTACTGTTCAGTCATAAATAATAATTGATAAGTTTTGTGATTGTTATACACATTATCTACATTGTAACACCGTTATTAAGAACATAGCTGTTAAAAAATATGGTGGAAACATAACCCTTCACAAAATCAACGATGGTACTTACTTTTTTATTTTTTACTACAAATATTAAATAAGTACAGGTATAATATTACTCGTAATAGGTTTTATTAGAATTATTTTCTCTCATCCTTAATTTGTAAATTTTACGTGTTTCTTGTCTTTGGTCGAATAATAAGTATTTTACAAAACTATACAATAATAATAAACTGCAAATTAGGATTAAATTTTTTAAATTAATGTATGTACCGTTTCATTGCAATATATTTATTAATTATAATAAAAAATCGAACATTTCTAATTGTGTATGCATTATATATATTTGGGTAAAACATATGCTGTGCCATTTATCAAGTGGCATTTTTAGTATTTAACAATGGATGGTAACTAAGTAATGGGGGAAAAAACGATAAAACTGGTTATAAATATATTCTTATAGTGAATGTCAAATTGAGACATTACCTTATAAACTTTTGTCACATGAAATCTAAGAACGTTATCTTTAAACTTTTATATAAATAAATGTATCTATCAAGGATTATATCTAACTGTTATACCTACATTCTTATACAGAAATGTATTACATTTATCTCATATTATACATAATACAAATATTTTTTCGTTTTTTGCAATATTCAGGTAATTGTAATTAATAACTTATGTTAATCTATATTGATGATGTCTTTAATAATAGTTCTATGTCTCTATCTTTTTCTTTTAATATTGTAAAACATAAAATATAAAAATAAGCATAAAAATAATACATAGTATAGTATTTATATTTGTTCCAAGTTGTTACTGATACATATAAATGTTTTCTACTTAATTATTCATTTTTTCAAAGGAGCCTAAGTTTAATCTTCGTGAAACAAATCAAAAAGATAAAATACCATGAAGAATTTAACAGCAAAACAATTACAAAGAATAGAGAAAAAGAAAAAAAAGATGGCTGCACTTTTAGAAATTACCAAATTAAATGATAAAGACAGAGAAGCAAAAATACTTGCTCTTAAAACAGCAGTTAGTATAATTAATAAAATCGTAGTATTTATGATAAACTTTATCTGACAAATGTTATTTCAGTCTACAGAGATAGATCTCTCTAATGATATAGATAACAATGAAATTTCTATGGAAGAAAGCTACAATCGTAAACGACCTTGTGATGAAGATTTAAAAGGGACTTGTTCCGGAGATTCTACTGAAAAAGAAGACGGAGAAATTACGGAAGAATTAGATCCACTTGCCAATAAAAAACCTAGGTTTATATATAATAGGTTCTTTTTATTTTTTTAAGAATATATACTAATGTTTTATATTGCAGATTAAGTGGAGAAGAGTACCTAAAACTGAAACAAGAATTAAGAGAACGTAAAAAGAGACTTAAATCAATTCCTAGGTTTCATCTGAAGGCAGTTGGCGAGAACGCTAGTATAAGTATTAATGTTAAAAGTGAAGATAGGATTCCTATTTTCCTTAGCGATATACAACATTTATTATTGTATTCGTTACATGGTCATCATTCACCTTATTTACCGACAAGATGGTGTCACCTCGAAAAATATAATAGGGTAATTAAAAAGACTGAAAATACATATAGCTAAAAGTAGTGGAAATTCTATTGTTTATTGATAATTTTTTTGGGGGGGGGGGAAAGGTTTCACATACGGTGGCTCTAGTTATAGAAGGTCTTTCTATATACCATTTTATGGCTTACGAAAGTATGTTTCCATCTATCACATCAAATTTGGAACACCGTGTCGAAGTGGTAACACCTATGATATATGGGGGATCAGTGGTAGAAGATCTTGCAGCAGTTCCTATAACTGGGGTTCATTGCGATAAATTAATTGAACGTGCGCATATTTTGTAATTGTACATTATTTATTAGCATACTGCAGTGCTTAAAAAAGTAATTATAGACATTCTTTCCAGAGTATGGGTCATTACAGAGTGCATTAAATAGTACTAGAGATGTAATAAAATTGTTAAAAACTGTCTTCCCGATGTATCAAACAGAACCAACAGATATCAAAAGAATACTTGAACTACCTTATACTGATAAATTTCCTAGAACACAATTACTTTTATCTTTATGTCAAATGGTGGAAGAAAATTATCCTATTCCTCTAAGTGGTGAACTAGCAAAGAAGTTAGTATTAACGATAAAAGTACATTTAATTATATTGTTATTAGATTAATAAATGTTCGTTTATTAGATACGGAAATTACATAATGACAAAAGATGTATATCTAGAAGCTACTGCGAGATCTCCGATGATCGGTTTAGATTGTGAAATGTGTAAAACAACTATGGGAGAGTTGGAATTAACAAGAATAACGTTGGTTGATGAAAAAATGAATGTAAGTTTTAACTTAAATTTATTTCGATAAGATGCATATAAATTTTACTTAATTCTTATCACAGGTTATTTATGATAGTCTAGTGAAACCGGATAATCCTATTACGGATTATCTCACTCGATTCAGTGGTATAACAAAAGAAATGTTGGAAGACGTTACTACTACATTATCTGATATTCAACAAGTTTTACGAAAGTTACTTCCTCCGGATGCTATTCTTGTCGGACAGAGCTTGAACTCTGATCTTCATACATTAAAAATGATGCACCCCTACATTATTGATACATCTGTGATTTTTAATATTACCGGTGACAGGTAATTGTATTAGTTATGTATCTTATAATATTGAAATTTTTATGTTAAATAAATTATAATAAATATATTTGGTATAGATATAGAAAAACAAAATTACAAACACTAGTAAGGGAATTTCTTGGCGAAAAAATACAAAATAGCACCGATGGTCATTGTTCAGCCGAAGATTCAAGAGCTTGTATGAAATTAGTCCAATTAAAATTAGCAAACAGCGTAGATTATGGAGACGCTGTGTTACTTGGTAGATGTGATATCGAAATATTAAAGATGGAAACAGCAAAACGTAGCCCTACTGAACGATCGCTCAAAACTGAAATACGGAAATATGCTACTTCAATTTTTAATCATGTAACGAAAGATCAAAAAACTGCTGCTGTTGTGGGAGATGAGGAAGTTATGAATGAATATTCCACATTTTTAACACCATCCATTAAGATTATGGATGACGAAAATTTTGATAAAAACGATCAAGTACGTGGTTTATAGTTAAAGTATACTTTCAACTCGTAATTTATATCTTTTAATTTTGATTGCAGGTTAGACTTGTAGTAGCAGATAATAATAAGCAAGCCGTAACTCGAGCTTCCCAAATAGCAATGGAACATGCTTTTACTTTGTGTCACATTAGAATAAAGAAGGAAAAATTAGGGGATGATCGAATAGAGAAAACGTTCAATATTGTAAATAAATGGGTATATAAATTATGGCAACATATGGCTATAAACGGACTAGCGTGTGTTATATTCGCGGGTGAAAATAATGCAGGAAATGGCGTGTGTTTCTTGAATATAAAAAGAGAAGTACCTGAAAACTGCGTAATACGCGCTTGAACAGAAAAGAATTATCATTTTGTACATTAATTTCAAAGCAAATTATAAAAATCATAATTCTGATAACGTTAAAACAAATTGTAGAATAAAATACGGAAAACTAAGAAAACAATCATGTCACGATTAATTTTTATTTCGATGTTTACTAGAAATGTATAGATATTGTGTTATTAATAAACTTTTGTAATCTGTGAATTTTAATTTAATAGGATTGTTTGCAGCAGGTATACGCTCTGTAGCAGAGGGCAGATAAAATTTACTAAATGAAAGTCGAATTGAAAAGAATATTATTCTTAATTAGACTGACTTTACTCATTTTTAACTATTTTTAATATGTTTTTATTACAAGGAGAAAAGTTACACATTACTGGTACAGATATAATAATGTAAGAATTTGTCGTGTGAACGACAAAATAAAAAGTAGTTGGAATAAACTACATATTCTGTTATATTTTAACATCCCGGTTTCTAATGAAGATTTGGCGACATCTCGCTAAAATATAGTAACTATTTATAATTCAAAAATTGATATTACTTTACAATTATTATCACAGTGATTACAATCAAGTTAAAATACTAACTTATAATTTATTCTTCAAATTTAAAAGTAAAAATAAATGCGTTAACGATAAAATAACAAAGATTAGTAATTTAATAAAAAGCACACAATTACATTAAACAGGAAACTGGACCAGAAAAGGAGGGTGAAGGATACTTAGAGCATTTATACTTATTTTATAATACAAACAATATTCGTTTTCATGTATAATATTTAAAGTTATGTTTTTTAAACCTGCGGATTATATTACAAAAAAAGAAGTACATAAATTGATACTTCAGTATGGCTTATTACAAAATGTGTCTTTACCTGCTACCTTTTGTTTGTCTAAATACATTAAATAAGCAGATACAGGTTGCCTTGAATTTCTAGCGATCATTTTTTGCTTAAACGAAACTACGCCTGAAATTTTCTTTTGTTTCTTCATTTTTTGAATGTTTTCAACAGCAAACTGAGTTGTACCTCCATAGGAACTTACCGTATCGAAATCTTCTTCCACATATACATTTTCTACTTTGTTAGCCTTTGAATCAAACATTGAACGAGATGGTGATATTTGATTTTTTATCTTTGATAACTTCTTCTTTTTCAGTGGTTTCGATGGAACGTCAGAAAGGTTTTCAAGAAATTCATCAGACAGTCGTTTAATACCCTTTGTGCTTGCTGTTTTGTTATCATTAATCTTTTGCTTTTTGGATTTTGGTTTTTCATTTTCAAGTTCTACTTCTTGCATTCTTTCCTTTTGTTTTTTCTTTTTCTTTTCCTTACTAACTTTTATACCATCAGTAATACGTTTTACTGTTTTTGATGCTTCCTCTCGTGCTTCAGAAAATTTAACGATTGTTGGTCCTTCATTTGAATCCGACACCGATTGTTGTAATTTATTAGATTTTTTAACAGGTTTTACTTCACTATTTGCATCTTTTGCCACTAATTTATGCTGTTTCTTTGATAATTTTTCAGCTGAAATATTTTTATTTTGTGAAGTATCACTAGATGATACATTTTGTTTCTTAGCTAACTTTTTATCTAGACCTTTTTTCTTTTTTTTAGGCAATTGTTCAACTGCTGTTTCATCATCCTGCAGAACAATGTCTTTTGATAATTTTGGTGTTTTCTTAGATGTCCTAGTACTTGTAATTTCTTCATTTAACAAAGGTTCTGAAATTTTCTTCTTTCTCTTCCCTGATACTTGATTTCCTGAACAAATATCTAGAACATTTTCAGTTATTTCTTTTTCTTGTTTCTTCTTTATTTTTTTAGGCTTCTTAGTAATTTTTGTCTTCGTATTAGTGATTTCTTCATGTAATACTTCTTCTTCAACATCTTTATTAATATCAGTATGTGTTATTTTCTTCTTCTTTTCATTTAAAAATACCTTTTCAACCTTTTTATTTTTATCAGCATCAATGGTAGAAACAACATTTTTTTTATCTTTACTTACGATTTGCGAATCTACATCTTCAAGAAAACTGTCTTCAATTAATATAGTAGTATTCATTTTCTCCGCTGTTTGCTTTCGTTTTTTATGCTTTTTCTGACTGTCGACCTCTAAAATATTGTCAGCTACACTGAGTACTTTCTGTTTTAACGACAAATCAGATAAGTTGTTCTCTTTTTCACTTTTTTCACTTTGAGATGTATCTACTTTTTTAAGCTTTTTCTTCCTATTAGTTTGGGACGTGCCTAAACGATCAGATATCTCTAATTTGCTTTTTTGTTTGCTAGAGGTATTTATTAATTTATCTACATCTTCAATATTTTCTTGTTCGTTCTCGTTTTGTAATTCTTCTTCAGTCATACCTTCTTTTATTTTGTCCTCAATTACATCTGGTTCTTGCACTTGCATTGCTTCGTTTTGTTCTTTTATTTCTTTTTCCTGATTTTCTTGAGTGTTTTCATCAGTATGTAATTCTTCAATTTTAATTTTCTCATTGGCTTTCTCTCCTTCTTCACTTTCTTCATTGGCCGTATCTCCTTCTTCACTTTCTTCATCTTCTTCAACATCATCAACAATAAAATCTTCAAGATCTGATCCATTATCTTCTGGATCCGATGATTCTGTTTCTGATGCTCTGCATTCATCTCCTCGTACATCATCATCGGAAAACTTTGAAGTATCTTTACCACCAAGATTGTATTCTTTTTCAATATCAGAGTCCATACTTTTATCAGATTCGTTACTGCCAGTATTAGATGCTTCATGTAACATAAATTTAGGTAACTCTGTATTTGCTGAATCACCAGATTCACTTTTATTATCATCAGAATTTGATTCAATGGTCCTTATTGTTGAACGCTTTCTGCTGAATTTCTTTTTCCCATTACTTTTCTTTTCAGAAATGCTGGAGTCTTTAGCTTCAGTATCAGATTCTTCTATACAGCTTCTTTGTTCTTTTGAAGAAATATTTAAGGATCGTTTCTCTTTACTTTTTCTAGCTGATGTACTTTCATTTTCCATTTCTTTTTGAATAGATTTATTCAAAGATTTTCTGCTTACATCTGCTTTAGAGGTTGACTTGTTAAGCGATTTTTGTTTTTTTGTAATACTTTCGGACAAATTCTCCTCCGCTTCCGTTATTTTATGAGATTTGTTTAAACTTTTTCTCTCAAGTAATTTCCGACTCGAAGCAGAATGTTCAGTTCGTTGTTCTGTTATTGATGTATCCTGATTTTCATTTTCTATTTCATCCTTAAAATCTTTTGTATTTGTCGTTTCATTGTCTATGTCATTTTCATTTGAAATTGCGTCTTTACTATCATTCATTTTGTCTACTGATCTATTCATTTTCGTTTTTTCATTCTTTTGTGCTATTACAGAATCCAATCGTATTTTTAACACAACAGTATCATCCGAGTCATAATCAGAGGCTTCTTTCTCCCTTGCTGCTTTCATATTTTCAGCAGCCAACCATGCTTCTTTGTCAATTAAAACGAGATCGCATTCAGTTTCCATTTCATTTTCAAATTGCTCTGTTGACACTAAATGTATCGAATTCTTATCAACATCAGTATTCTTTTCGTTCCATTCAGCAGCTGGAATATCTTGAAATAAATCTGTTGCAGTTGTATCAGAATCATTGCTTTCAACAGCTTCACTACCTTTATTCTTGTTACATGTTTCTTGAATGGACTCAGATTTTTGTTCATCTGATCCTGATTTTTCTGTAGGTTTATTTTTTAACGTTGATGAATCATTTGCAAATTCTTTTTCTTTTAGTTCTTCTTTTTTTGTTACTTCTTCATCAAGCTCAGTTGGCGACTCTGTAACAGTGAAAGGTGCACTACTTTTAACCACGTCAGTTACGCTATCCCCATCTGTGTTAGTAGATTTACCACTATTGTTTTCTTTCCATTCAACATCTGGAATATCTTGAAATAAATTTGTTGCAATTATGTCAGAATCATTACTTTCAACAGCTTCGCTTTCTTGATTCTTGTTACACGTTTCTTGAATGGACTCGGACTTTTGTTCATCTGATCCAGATTTTTCTGTAAGTTTTTTTTTTAACGTTGATAAGTCATTCGTAGATTCTTCTTCTTTCAGTCCTTTTTTTGGTACTTTTTCATCATGCGCAGTTGGCGTAACAGCCGGCTCTTTAACAGTGACGGGTGGACTACTTTTAACTACGTCAGTTACGCTGTCTTGATCTGCGTTAGAAGATTTACCACTATTCGTATTAGGGAACGATGTATTTGTTTTATTTATACTTTTAAGTTCAGATGTCTCTTTATTCTTTAAAATAGGAGAGCATTCAGCACTTGCGGTGGACGATTTATCCGGTGAAGTTAATGGCACTGTATTTGTTAAATTAGGAGACGAACAAGTGTTTGTACAACTCATTCCATAATCATTCTGCACATTTCCTAAAGTATCCGGTTTATGAACTTCTTCCTTGACACCATCCTGATCATTCATACTTGTATTTGATTTGATATTATCTTTTCCAGATTCTGTATTTGCATTAATAGCTTTCTCTACATTTGAAATAGTAGAATCATTTACAATTTCATTAGATTCCTCATTATGTACTTTTGTGGTTTCCTTATTCAATGTAAGACTAGTTTCTGTAAGTTTCTCATCATCTGTTGTCATTACATCATCCATACATTGTACAAGTTCAAAACTCTCACAAGAACTTAAATCTGAAGATATTTTTAAAGGAACATTCTTATCTGAACTTACATTAAGTATAGGTTCACTTAATGAATGTACTTCTACAGCCAATTTTGACGTGTAATCAAAAGCATCCTTCTTCTGTATTTTCATATCTTCTGTATTTCGTATTTCTAACACTGAATCATTAGCTACATTCTTTTCTTTCCATTCAGTAGCTGGAATATCTTGTAATGAATTTGGTGCAGTTAAGTCAGTATCATTACCTTCAACAACTTCACTTCTTTGATTCTTGTTACACGTTTCTTGAATAGACTCGGAGTTTTGTTCATCTGATCCTGATTTTTCTGTAGGTTTGCTTTTTAACGTTGATGAATCATTCGCTGATTCTTCTTCTTTCAGTTCTTCTTTTTTTGGTACTTCTTCAAGCTCAGTTGGCGTCTCTGTAACAGTGAAAGATGGACTACTTTTAACCACGTCAGTTATGCTATCTCCATTTGCGTTAGTAGATTTAGCACTATTTTTTTCTTTCTATTCAACATCTAGAATATCGTGAAATAAATTTGTTGCAGTTATGTCATAATCATTACCTTCAACAGGTTCACTTCCTTGATCCTTGTTACATGTTTCTTGAATGGATTCGGATTTTTGTTCATTTGATTCGGATTTTTTTGTAGGTTTGTTTTTTAACGTTGATGAATCATTTGCTGATTCTTCTTCTTTTAGTTTTTCCGCGATATTATTGGATAATTCCTTAACTGTTGTAAAGTTATGTACATATATACAAGTTATTATGACTTCCGGTTTGGATGTGAGAGCATGTGCGCGTGAATTTGAGGGAAGGAGCGGAAGGATAAGGAAGTGAGTGGGGAGTGGAGTGATAATAGTGAGGTGGATTAGTAAAAATTGGTGGTGAGAGAAAGTTGAAAGTGGAGATGTTGAAGTTAGTGTAAGGTCGGGTCGGAAAAATTAGAAAGGGCAAGACGAGAAATGAGAAGGAAACAGAAACCAAAGAGAAAAGAGCAATACTATTAAAATAGATAGATGTAAGTGTTTAGAATGTATGACTGTATATAATAAATAAATAAAAAAATATACAAGTTATAACGAATAAATCAAACTTACCACTACTATTTTCTATGCTTTTTTCATTTAAAGACTGGCAACTTGAATTAAGATTATCTTCTGCACTTGACATTGGATCATGTTTCTGGGCTGATTTAAGGGGATCATTTAAATCTGAAATTGAATAAATACATGAATTGCAAATAAAATTTTTTTCAAATATATACATCAATCATTAGCAACATTAAATGAAAAAGAAGAAGTAATGTACCCATTTCTTTAACTTCGCTAACATTAGGTAATGTACGATCTAATGTCACCACTAGAACTTTCATATTCTCTTCTTTTTCCTCTACAACAGTAGCTTCTGAAGGTACTATTAATGTTCGTCTTCTCATCCTACTGGATGTATGTACACATTCACTTTCATTTTTGTCCATATGCTTATTTACTGCAACGCTTTCAGGTTCCATGGAAGTGGATCTGGTATTACGTGTAACTCTTATTGGTGATGTTTTTGACTCTGAACCAGCTCTTGTAAATTGTGTACTATAAAAATAAAGTAATATAAAATTATTTCAATGGTAAGAATTATGTTATGATAATAAATAAATAATAGTCATACCTTCTTCGATTATTAGTTTTGTTAAGCACATCACCCGTAATACTATTTCTATTTCTTTTAGTTGGTGTCATAGTATTAGTACCATTTTCTGTGACTTCACTAACATCTAAAGATCCAGAATTCATCCTAGAACGTAAGGACCTTTGTTTTTCAGTTGTAGTAGTATTATCCATTATACCCGTTCGTCTCCTTGTTACTTTCGTCTGGGTATTACTAACGTTACTAGTATCACTTGAAAGTGATTCGGGTGAGGATTCATTTTGCTTAACTGATTTAATTCGAGAACTGCGACGAAGCGGTGAATCGACTGATACTACATCAGTTAAACGAGTCTTGCGACCTAATATTTTAAAATAAATAGAAAAAAATAAAAACAAACATCGTATAAAATATAAGATATTTACTTCATAGTAGTATAAAAGAAAAATTGTTATTGTTTATCAAATTGAAAGAACTTTAAGGGTGAGACCGAATTGACCGTTACAATCAATGACCTAGTGAGCCGCATGGGTGTAAAACTAAAAAATGAAAGATACGAACCGGGCTTTGGATCTACTTCTTCTTCTGAATCTCTTGTAGAACGTGGCATTTTCTTTATGAATTAAATCATGTATCAGACAGTAATAAATATAAAAAATAAATAGCACTTGATATGAAACGAATTACAAACACGTGTTATGCCTGAATTTAAACTACTAGTAACAACTACTAGATAATCTTCTCAATACACTGTGCGCAGAACATTTTTCGTTGAAAAAGCATGCAGAGACCTCAAGTGACGAGATATTAAAATATTTCGATTTCTGTTACAAAATTCGTTACAAAGTTTTATTTAAAAATAACTTAAATAACGAAACATCAATTAAAAACATTATCCACATAAAAAATCGCAAAAATCATTATGTATTATAAAAGTAGTAGGTCTTATAATTTTATAACAGTTACAAAATGAGAACTGTAACGGTTGTATTAACCATTTAAATCATATGTCACGCAATCGCGCTGTTTTGATTTCATGTCGGAAAGACCCACTACATTTCCCTCTGATATGTAAATATTAATACATTTGGATTTTATCCAAGTCAGCGCACTTAACTTCTGGTATTTGTTCGTAGTATCAGTACCTCTTTTTATGGGCACAAACAATCACCTGCTCAACAAAAAATATACCCTGAATAAGGGATGTTGTATTAATAATGTGAATAACATATTTACCTAATTGAAAAATTAGTATTTAACATTAGAACTACCAGAGGGATCGAAATGATTTTTGGATAAATGTATGTTGGCTGTTATCGAGCTAAATAATGAACGTATCTATATATAAAATCATGTTTCACCTTTTACTCATTCAGTAATCTAACAATAAGTACATTATTTACAACTTAAAAATAAATGTGCATCAATGTAAATAGTTCGAGTCTGAAACATCGTACACCATGCCCGGCTAGCTCAGTCGGTAGAGCATGAGACTCTTAATCTCAGGGTCGTGGGTTCGAGCCCCACGTTGGGCGATGAATTTTTGTCTACGTTTACCCTTTTTTTAATTATTAATATGATTTTATTTATACTATTTATTTATATTAACTTTCATGATAAAATAAGCTATGCATCTATTCAAAAAATTCAAAAACTGATAGGTACTATTAAAATTTAATTTCATTTTTTTAACATAATATTTAATTTTTCAGGTGCTGGAAGTACATCTTTTGCTTCTCTACACATGCCTAGTACCACTGTAGTCACTGCTAGTATTGTCCATACAAATACTGAAAATACTGGAAAGCAGTGGTAGGAGACTCAAACAAGACGTGTTACAGCACCGGACAAATTGAAACTATGAAGGAAACTATAAAAAACATAAGGTACCTCATCGCCAAGGAATTCTCAATCGCGGTAAACAGGTTTTGGGCGCTAAAGGCGAGAAAAATCGACCATACAAAAGTGGATAAATTCTTCCCCAAAATCAACCAAATGTTTAGAAGGAGGGAAGGACTAAGAAATTCGGGAGCTAAGAAACGAAAGCTAGAGGGCCTCGTTAATCGAGAGAGCTGAGGCACGCGAAGTGGCGTCGCGCTAAGCGGACGGGTCCTACCGGGTCTGCGAGCCAACCAAAAAACTTGACATACTAGGAGCACATTTTGAGGAAGTAAACGCGCCCTCACTTCTAAATGGGGGCACGCGCCTCAAGGAGCTGGTGGACGACAGGGCGGAGAAATTCCGGCCTGACGGAAACAGAGACGTTTTAGGATGGTAGAATTCTCACCGGAAAACCCAGCACACGGCCCCCGATGATGGCTATGTGAACCTGGCACTCGACTTTTAAAAAATTAACTTTTTTTTACGGAAAATGGTGGTATTTTGTAGTTGATTGTAGTAACAACAGTTTCGTTTGTAGTTGGATCAATTAATAAATAAACAAAATTGAAAAATTGACCCGCACCCGACATTGAGATATCTCAAATCGGGTTTTTCCATGTGATAGGGAATCGTTTGTAGTTGATTGTAGTGATTTTCGTTTCGTTTGTAGTTGAATAGTTTAAAAGTTACAGGCGATTGTTTATACTCCTAAGAGGCAACTTCGTAAAATTTTAATATTTTTAAAATCCGTCCAGGATACATCTCAACATTTTATTCCTGTATACATACAAAGAACGTAATTTCCACGCAACTTTCTTATTCTATAACACTCCATTCTTTTGCCATGTTTCTTAAGCTTATTATTTATTCCATTCAACAATTTAAAAATGTTTAAAATTAAATTTCAATTATGGATGCTACAGTTACCAGTCGAAGATTAACGTAAGCTAAAATAAAAATATTGAAATAGATTTCTAGGTTCTTAATTGATTACGCTTATTCCGAATGTCGCATTTATGTCAAAGGTTGAAGAGTTCAAGGAAGATTCCTTCGTTTTGTATACAGAATAGCACAGAAAAGCAGGTTGAAGGATACTTACGTTAGAGCATTTATACTTTTATACTTTTGTTTCTCGCTGCTACCTTTTGTTTCTCTAAATACATTAAATATACAGAATAGTTTGCCTTGAATTTCTAGCGATCATTTTTTTTTTAAACGAAGCTATCCCTGGAATTTTCTTTTTTTTCTTTATTTTTTGAATGTTTACAACAGCGAACTGAGTTGTACTTCCACAGGAACTTACCGTATCGAATTGCTTTTCCACATATATATTTTCTACTTCATTAGTATTTAAATTAAACGGTGAACAGGATGGTAATATTTGTTCTTTTATCTTTAAAAATTTCCGCTTTTTCAATGGTTTTGATGGAACATCAGAAAGATTTACAAGAAATTCATCGGTTCGTCGTTTAATACCTTTTGTGCCTTCTGTTTTATTATCTTTAATCTTTTGCTTTTTGGATTTTGGTTTTTCATTCTCAAGTTCTACTTCTTGCATTCTTCCCTTTTGTTTTTTCTTTTCCCTTTCTTTACTATCTTTTATACTATCAGTAATACTTTTTACCGCTTTTAATGCTTCCTCTTGTGCTTCAGAAAATTTAACGACTGTTGGTCCTTCATTTGAATCCGACACTATGTCCGCCGATTGTTGCAATTTATTAGATTTTTTAACAGGTTTTACTTCACTTTTTGTGTCTTTTTCCACTAATTTAATTCGTTTCTTTGACAATTTTTCTGTTGTAATATTTTTATCTTGTGAAGTATCATTAGATGATAAATTTTGTTTCTTAGGTAACTTTTTAGCTAGAGCTTTTTCTTGTGAAGAAGCATCTTTCGACACTAATCTTTTCTTTTTCTTAGGCAGTTTTTCAACTGCTGTTTCGACATACCGCACAGCAATGTTTTTTGATAATTTTGGTGCTTTCTTAGATATCCTAGTAGTTGTAATTTCTTCATTTAACAAGGCTTCGGAAATTTTCTTCTTTTTCTTCCCTGATACTTGATGTCTTGAACAAATATCTGTAAGATTTTCAGTTATTTCCTTTTCTTGTTTCTTCTTTATTTTTTTAGGCTTTTTAGTAATTTTCGTCTTCGTATTAGTGATTTCTTCATGTAATACTTCTTCTTCAACATCTTTATTAATATCAGTATGTGTTATTTTCTTCTTCTTTTCATTTAAAAATACCTCTTCAACCTTTTTATTTTTATCAGCATCAATGGTAGAAACAACATTTTTTTTATCTTTACTTACGATTTGCGAATCTACATCTTCAAGAAAACTGTCTTCAATTAATATAGTAGTATTCATTTTCTCCGCTGTTTGCTTTCGTTTTTTATGCTTTTTCTGACTGTCGACCTCTAAAATATTGTCAGCTACACTGAGTACTTTCTGTTTTAATAACAAATCAGATAAGCTGTTCTCTTTTTTACTTTTTTCACTTTGAGATGTATCTACTTTTTTAAGCTTTTTCTTCCTATTAATTTGAGACGTGCTTAAACGGTCAGATATCTCTAATTTGCTTTTTCGTTTGCTAGAGGTATCTATTAATTTATCTACATTTTCTATATTTTCTTGTTCATTCTCATTTTGTGATTCTTCTTCAGTCATACCTTCTTTTATTTTGTCCTGAATAACATCTGGTTCTTGCACTTGCATTGCTTCGTCTTGTTCTTTTATTTCTCTTTTCTGATTTTCTTGAGTGTTTTCATCAGTATGTAATTCTTCAATTTCAATTTTCTCATTTGCTTTTTCTCCTTCTTCTTCACTTTCTTCATCTTCTTCAACATCATTAACAATCAAATCTTGAAGATCTGATCCATTATCTTCTAGATCCGATGAATCTGTTTCTGATGCTCTGCATTCATCTCCTCGTACATCATCATCGGAAAACTTCGAAGTATCTTTACCACCAAGATTGTATTCTCTTTCAATAGCAGAGTCTATACATTTATGAGATTCTGATTTTTCTCTAGGTTTGTTTTTTAACGTTGATGAATTATTCGCAGATTCTTCTTTTTTTGATACTTTTTCAGCAAGCTTACTTGGCGTCTCAGTAACAGTGGAAGGTGGACTACTTTTAACCACGTCAGTTACGCTATCTTGATTCGCGTTAGTAGATTTAGCACTCTTCGTATTAAGGAAAGATGTATTCGTTTTAATTATACTTGTAAGTCCAGATGTCTCTTTATTCTTTAAAATAGGAGAGTATTCAGGATTTGCGGTCGACGATTTATCCGGTGAAGTTAATGGCACTGTATTTATTAAATTAGGAGACGAATAAGTGTTTGTACAACTCATTCCATAATCATTCTGCACATTTCTTAAAGTATCCGGTTTATGAACTTCTTCCTTGACATCATCCTCATCATTCATACTTGTATTTAATTTGATATTATCTTTTCCAGATTCTTCATTTGCACTAATAGCTTTCTCTACATTTGAAATAGTAGAATCATTTACAATTTCATTAGATTCTTCATTATGTACTTCTGTGGGTTCCTTATTCAATGTAATTCTAGTTTCTGTAAGTTTCTCATCATCCATTGTCATTACATCATCCATACATTGTACAAGTTCAATACTCTCACAAGAACTTAAATCTGAAGATATTTTTAAAGGAACATTCTTATCTGAACTTACATTAAGTATAGATTCACTTAATGAGTCTGTTTCGACAGCCAATTTTGATGTGTTGTCAGAATTCAGTATTTCAAACATTGAGTCATTAGCTACATCACCGTCGACGTTAACAATAGTATCATCCATTAATTCTGTTGATCTTGAATCACGGCTCCTTGATGATAAGTTACAAGAAGATTTACATTTCTCTTTCACTAATTTGTTTGAATTAAGTACAGATGAAGACTTTGAACTTTGTACTAGTGTATTGGAATGTGCATTTTTGATATTTGGTTCATCCCTAATAACATTCGCCGCTAGATTCTCTTTATTACTAAAATCTTCATGTTTTTCCATTGAGTTGTTTAATAAATTTTCGATTTTTAGTCCTAATTCCTTGGATGTATCTTGGCCAGCCTTTTGTGAAAATGATTGAGATATATTATGTACCAATGGTTCCATTTTGGTTACAACATGCGCAGGTAAGCTTCCTGTTTCTTCTGATTTGTTTTTATTGTCTGACATTATGTTATTATCATTAGTAGATGTATCCTTGTCAACATCCTCAGAAAATTTTGAAGGAGATTTTTCTGCGAGATTATTGGGCAGTTTCTTAACTGTTGTAAAGTTATATACATATTTGTGTATATATACAAATTATTATAACAAATAAATCAAACTTACCTCTAATATTTTCTGTGCTTTTCTCATTTACAGCTTGGCAACTGTAATCAGAATTATCTTCTGTATTCGACATTGAATCATGTTTCTGGGCTGATCCAAGAGAATTGTTTAAATCTAAAATTGAATAAATACATGAATTATAAATAAAATTTTTCTGAAATATAACAAAAGATACGAACTGGGCTTTGGATCTACTTCTTTTTCTGAATCTCTTGTATAACGTGGTATATTCTTTATGAATTAAATCATGTATCAGACAGTAATTAATATAAAAAATAAACAACACCTGATATGAAATGAACTTCAAACACGTGCGATGCCTGAATTTAAACTACTAGATTGTAATTTTTTCAATACACGGTGCGCAGAACATTTTCCGTTGAAAAAGCATGCAGAGACCTCAAGTGACGAGATATTAAAATATTTCGATTTCTGTGACAAAATTCGTTACAAAGTTTTATTTAAAAATAACTTAAATAATGGAACGTCAATTAAAAACATTATTCACATGAAAAATCGCAAAAATCATTATGTATTATAAAAGTAGTAAGTTATAATTTTAAAACAGTTTCAAAATGTATTAGCGTAGTAACAAAAATGCGGAAAAATGTAACGGTTGAATTAACCGTTTGAGTTCCACACAGTGCGATCACGCTGTTCTGATTTCATATCGAAAAGATCAACTACATTTCACTTTGATATGTTTGAATTTTGTCAAAGTCAGCGCGTTCAACTTTACTTATATGTACATATTTGTTCATAGCGTCACTACTTTCTTTTATATCCACGAACAATCATCTGCTCAACAAAAAATACACTCTAAATAAGGGATGTTGTATATATTCATTTAATTTCTACTATTATTAACTTAGAATCATAAATAATTAAAATTTTATATATTTATTAAATACATATATTAATAATGTGAATAACATATTTGCAGATTTGAAAAATTTGTATTTAAAGATTGTACAATATGCCCGGCTGGCTCAGTCGGTAGAGCATGAGACTCTTTTTTCATACTGATGGCTACCAACGGGGTAGTATTATACATATGTATATATATGTATAATCGTAAGTCCATTATAAGAAGAGATGGTACTGTATGTATATAGGACAAACTTGCAAACTTCGCATATAGCCATAATTCGTAAGATCTTTTTATTGTTATATTTTTATACCTATATTCTAGTATGTGTAGCTTGTGAAATAAAAAAAAAAACAACCTTATTAATCGCAGTGTCGTAGGTTCAAGCCTCATGTTGGGCGATGAATTTCTGTCTACTTTTCCCTTCTTTTTTATTTATTAATATAATTTTGAATGTTAATGTATGCATCCATTAAAGAATTTCAAAAACTGATAGGTACTATTAAAATTTAATTTAATTTTTTCTAATATAAAATTTAATTTTTCAGGTTCTGGAAGTACATCTTTCGCTTCTGTATACATGTCTAGTACTGTTCATACAAATACTGGAGAGCCTACAACCCTTTAACTAGGACTGATACAGTTGACAAGTAGTAAAGCATCTAAAATAGTCAGACACCGGTCTGGGTATATTATAAGTAAAAGGTATTAGAAAGAGTAATTGAAATACTTTTATTTAAACAAAATAGTAGTTGAAAATTTATTTGTTCAGAAGATTTGGTAAGTTTTGCGGAAACACTATAGCAGCAATATGGTTCATATACATATGTATATAGCTATATAATTCTGAGATATAAATTCGCTTATTTTTTCGTGGAGAGCAGTATTGAACGTTTGGAATTGCTTATTGGTCCAGGATACACCTCAACGTTTTATTTCTGTACATATAAAAGACGTAATTTCCACGCATCTTTCTTACTCTATAACACTCCATTCTTTTGCCATGTTTCTTTAGCTTATTATTTATTCTGTTCAACAATTTAAAATAAGCTAGAATAAAAATATTGAAATAGATTTCTAGGTTCTTAATTGATTTCGGTCATTTCAAATGTCGCATTTAGGTCAGGGGTTGAAGAGTTCAAGGGAGATCCCTTCGTTCTGTTGACCTATTTTTCCCCTCGTTTCGGTGCGGCTACTGTCGACCCTAGACAACTTCTAAGCCGGGGACTCTATAACTTGCCCTAATTCCTCTAGGTCGTAACATATGCCTGAGTGTCCTTGAATCAGTACACATTTCACACTTTGACATTAGATGTCTTACGTGGTTTCGACACTAATGGTCCCGCCACTAATCATAGATATATTAACGCAAGATTTAAGGCCAATAACCCTAGGAGTCGATTGAATGTAAATTTTTGTTCCATTTTTGGCGAAACAATTGATTTGTATCTATATGAGAATCAATGTAATCGTCGACCTGCCGTATTAGAAATCAAGACGCATGAAACTTCTTTGTTGTGTTGTTTGAAAAATATTAGACAGGTCAGTCAGAAGGCAATGCAAGGAATTCTATTTCTACGTGCTCTTGGTCTTCCTGAAATCGCTGGAATTTATATGGGTCATTGACACATCGAGAAGGAAACGAAGAACTTCCTTTACCTTATTCTGTTAAGTCTCATGTTTGCCAGAAAAATGGAGTCTGCTGGTACTCCTGTGGAACTTAATGAATGTTCTTCTGTTACTTTTTAGATCATAAATCAAGGGCGAGGGGAAGGTGAAATTGTTTATCGGACTGTAGCAAAAGGGCAGAGATGGCCGGCGTCTGCGCGTCGCGACGCGTGCTATGTATAGCCAATGATACCGCTGGTGCCCGGAGCACCGGTTCCTTCTTGCGAATTATATGTTCATTGCAAGCCTGGTCATCGGCCAAGGCGCACCGTGTTATGTTTGCACATCGAGGGGTGAAGTATTGTACGATAAAACGACATTTTCAAATAAGTTTAAAAGTGGATGAATGTCCTTTATTTCCATCGTTTTGTCAAGTAATTTACACGAGGAGGCCGGTTCCTTGAAACGCGCAAAAGTGAATGAATAATCATCTATTTATTATTCTAAATAATTAAAAACGAGTTGATTAAAGGGGCATATTAATGATTGGGTCATGTAGGTCAGTGTAGAATCAGTGATGTAATGGAATGACGCGAATTTCGAAGGTGTAAAGTTTGAAGTGGATGTTTCTTATTGTGTCTTCAAGAAGCATTTTTTGAGATTCGATAAGGGTGTGCACGTCATAGCTGTTTATAAGAGAAGGTAATTAATCGTGCAATATATTTGGTGTTTCTCTTTATAATGTTAAAATATTTGAAGAAGGTTGGTTACGTCATTTGAGCATCGACGTAACTCGGACCTTCTTCTGATCTAGGTACCTTAGAAATTTCGAAACTTTGAAGATTTGTAATTTTGGAAATTTTAAATATAGGAAATTTTAAATTTTAGTACTCTGAAGTTTGGAAATTCTGGAATCTTCACATTTTATCCCTCCTCGAGTTCCACATTTTTGAGGAAGATCCAGTCCAGTCCAAATTAATTCTGTACCTTTTCTTTTTTTTTAATTAAAGGTTTATTGTTAAAAGGTGGTAGTAATTATTACGCCACTTTTCAAATGGAAACAGAAGCGCGGGAAATTTTCTCTTTCAGAAAGTTTAAGAAATAAAGCTTACACCTAAGAAGAAATAATTCTTGAATGTAAGTCGATCATAAATTTCGGTTCACATGAAAGAAAAATCGTAAGTTGAAAAAATAACGGATTGCATGAATAAATATTTGATTTCCGCACGATTATCTTTGTCTCGCGATTAACAGTCGCGAAACACTGTGTTTAATCACCGATAATTACTTCTCCGGTTATTTTAATGACGGTAATGTGTTTTGTTTTTGGCTAGACGTCATCTCCCGAGATTACCACAGTAAGAAGTAGCTGCGTCTATATGTTTGCTAGTCGCACTTCGTGTGTTTGATCGTCAAACAACTTCTTAAAGGTATAATTTCATTGAAAAATATTTTAAACTCTAACTGCAAGAAGATATTTATATAAATCATTAGAGAATTCAAATAGCGTTTTGAATATGCGAAAAATGTTTGTTTATTGTTGACAAATTAAAAATAAAATCATACAACTATACGTACTATCATCGACATGTTTAATACTTTTTAATACTTGCTATTTTTATCTACTTCAATTTTGCTAGTTTGCTTAGAACAATTTCTTAGAAAGTGTTTCATGAAGTCATCGCAAGGATTGATAACGCAAAAGGAACGTGATATAGCGAATAAGAATACCTGCAATGACGAGAATAATCGATACATGTTTCCAAATACTGAGAAAATGTCTGGAAATGGACACTGATTTCTTGTCTAAAATTTCATTCGTGAAATTGTCTTGTACGGATCACATTTCTTATACAGTAAAAGTGCTTATACATAAAATATCGTATATACAAAAACCAAAAATTAAAAAAATATTCTCCCAATTTTTAGAATATAATTGTTTTTTGTGTATATGGTAATATGATTGTAGATGCTCGTCTGATCATTATGGGTATATACTACTTAACGCTGTGAATGTTCCACTCACCTACGAAATAAGTACACGAATTGAATGAAATCATTGTAAATAAATTGTCATTACGAATAAAGATGACAAATGAATTTGAAGAAATAAATTTGTCATTAATTATTATAATGGTGATGATGAGTTTTAATAAGAGTATAAGTATACTACTCTATTATAACCATAACTATAATTAATTATTTTTGCATCAACCTAATATAATAAAATATTATTTTACACAATGAAAGAACCAAACTAGTATCTGAACTATACTTATACCAATCTTCAAGTGTATGGATTTATTGTTAGTAGTTGAACCGCCATTGAGTAATATACAGATCTATGTTTCATTGTTGCATATCAATATGATAAAAAAGTCAGTCTTGCTGAAAAAAATGGAGGAACGCCGAAAGCGATAAAATCGTTACTAGTTTAGTATCAACGGTGGATTTTGCGCACCGGAGCAGCCACCCTCTTCCCTCCTCTATCTGAGGGTGAGGGATTGGCAGAGAATGTAGATCTTTGTGGCGAACTGTACACCAAGCAGACAGTATTGATCACACACGTTGGTAGCAACGGTGAACTTTAAAAGGGTTATTTCAAAGATTTGAATTTCCTTTTGACTTTCATTCGTTGCAAAATCATGACAATTATTTTTATAATTAAAGTTACCATAAGAAATTAAAAATCAGTTTTTAATTAAAAAAGAAAAGATGATAATGGTAATTTCATTAATATAAATCAGATCACTGCTGACCACCATACTTATAAATTACATTTAAATGCCCAAACATTACTCAGCTGGAGGCAAAACAAAAGAAAATGAGC